GAGACAAAAACTCTGATGAATTAGAGATAATAGAAAAAGATGATGAAGTTCACAAGTCTTTTGAAATAGAATTCGGTAATTTTTTTTTTTTTTTAAAGTTTTTGCTATAGGGCACGGGCGCTCGCCAGAGAGAGGCAGAAAGAGATAGGGAAATTGAGGAATTGTCTCCCGGGGGATAGCCATGCTACCATCCCTTCTCTGTCCTCCTCTTTGGATTTTGGGCATGCACGCACATGCGCCCAGTGTGATCTTCAAGCCATTGGGTCCAGACTCGAGCTGCAGAGTGGGCCACTCTTAACTTCTACGCCACCTGCTGGCCCTAGAATTCAGGGCTTTTAAACCAACTGGATGCAGTAGGTCCACAAAAAAAAATAAATAAATAAAATAATTGAGGAATAGTCAATATAGTAGCTTGTGAGACTACACATTTCATAAAGCGATGGGAATTACTAGCTAGGAAGACTAACTAGAAGTTAGCAACAGTGTCGCCAGCAGTGGAGAATGGAAAAAGTAGTCCTGGGGAGAAGTGAGAGAGGGAAACACACCCTTTACTGTCTCTTTTGAATTCAGAACCCAAGCTCATGTACTATCTACTCAAACACGGGTAAAAAACGTAGAGGCTGCGGTAATCTCAGATGTAACTGCTGGTTTTAACGAGGGAAAAGCTTTGTCATAGCAAGCCGACTGTAGCAATGATCGTACGTACGTACCTGTTCAGGATCCGATGCCAAATTTGGCTAACTAGATATTTCTCCCAGGCTAGGATGGAAGGGAGGGTTGTCTGCCCCCTGGACAAGTGTCAAATCTTCTTGAGGTAAAGCATGAAAGCGCCCCTTTAGTAGGGCAAGTGGGCAGTCAGCATGATTGACGTCATTGATGCACCGGCCCAGAGAAAAGAGAAAACACTCCCTGGTTGATCCTAACGACAACAGCAGCCCCAAGTTAAAATTGTACAGTGAGGTTGTTCTTTGACACTGTCTTGCTGTTCTTTCCCAAATTTCCTTGACAGCATTCTCTCCTGTATCTAACCCTGTACACAAGGGCTAGTCTTCAGTAAGTTGCAAAGTGATAAAGCCTTAGATGATTACCCTCCCGGGGGTTCTGCATTAAAAAAAAAAAAAAAATTGCCAGAGAGACAGAGAAAGAGAGAGGGAAAGTTATGAATTCCTTCCCCGATGGGGAAGGGCCACCCTGCAGTCCCTTCTCGTCCACCCTCCTTTCTTTTGTAATTTTGGGTGCAAACTCACATGTACCTGACGTGCCTCTCCTCTGTGCGTCAGGACTGAACCATGCAGTTGGCCATGGGGGATCCAGCCACTTCAACACCCATGCTATGGGCTGGCCCCATTTTTGTGTAGTTGAACTTTACTTCTGTTCTTTTCCTGAGAGAGAGAGAGAGAGAGAGAGAGAGAGAGAGAGAGAGAGAGAAGCTCTCTTATATGGTCATATGCTGTGACCCACCCCCCTCACCTCCAGAGCCTCAGCCAGTCCAGTTAAGCCACAAGAATGTCCCAGGACGCAAACCCACACCTTTTCTGTGTGGGTCTGTTTGTGCCACAAATCTTCTATTTTTTTTTTAAATCAGGAATTCTTAAAACCAAAATGTCCTCAAAACCTCAAACACCCAAGTGTTAGGAGCTTTTTAACGTTTATGTCTTTTACATTGTACTATGTGACTAATTACTAAGGTCAGTTCTCCTCTTGTTTTACATTGCTATTTAAGTCATCTAAAATTGTGATCATCACTTTACCTAATTTTTGTTCATTTCCAACCTCATTTCACAAAGTATTTGCAGTGACTTATCCTAAGCACGGACCATAAAATAGTCAGCAAGCAAGAAAGAAGAAATTAAAATCAGGCCAACAGGAGCAAAAGCTAGAGTAGAAAGTCGTGGCCAGTCACAGAAGCAGACACCAACGAGCGATGGAATTGTTTCACGCTTGGTCTAGGACTCCCGGTGAAAGTGAGAGGGACTCGCGGTCTGTCACTAATTATTTTCCCCTGCCCACCCCGCCTTTCTCTAACACCTCACTCTATTTCCTCAGGGCAAGTATGTAGCTTTTCCTAACACACGACCCTGGGAGACATTTCTCACAGAGGGTAATGAGCTTTTATCATCACCATGGATTCCACATACCGTGGCATAATAAAGGGCAAAAAGCCAAAAGCGATTTGTAGTTAAAGCAAAGTGAAGCGAATGGTTAACTTGTGCACTGGGTGTGAGGGAGATCGAGTGTGACGTGACTTGAGGGAGCTGTATATTTGTTTACCAGTTTCGAGCTCAGTAGCAAATAACCGGGGAGTAAAGAATCCTCACTGGTGCACTTGGGGAAGGCCGTGCAATCGCCCCACACAGTTGCATCACGTTGGGGTGATTCATACTCACGTGCAAACTGAAGGGATATTCACTCGATAGTTTTGTACGCCGAACTTCGTGATGCGCGTGTTATTTCGCCTGATATTTCAATTGTTCTCTATGCGATGGAACACCTTCATTTAATGAGCCACCGGGGAACCAGTGGTTTCTAAGGCCGAGTTTGGTTTAGCATTTTTGTCATTGACCGGGATAAAGGGAGGGTATATTGATTAAAACTGTAAAAAGACACAAGACTGGCGGGGCTGATTCAAACAGTGGATGACAGAATCTGGGTCCTTTAAATGACGATATCGCGCGTTGTCGGAAGCATGCGAAAACCCAGCCAAGTGCGAGTCTACCTGCCGTGGGATTTTTCTGGACCACTTGCCATTCTGCGTCTCTCTTTGTCCTGATGGTTGACTTTGACTGGTTCTGGCCTCTCATCCTAGAATTTGCTACAGGGCTGGCCCATGTGGACCCTTGTCTCCAGCTTGGTCCCTGGCACTGTTTCCTGGAGACGTCTGTGTTCAGCGTTTGGCTCCACGCCCTGAAGCGCTACGCCAAGGGTGCTCTTCCCTTCCGTGAGTGAGCTGGACGTGCTCAGTCTCTATGTTCTTGGTGTGTGGAGTAGAGTAGCTAAAGCATGAAGAAATCTAAATTGTATTTAGCCCATTGAGAAAGCTTTGAAGTGTATTCATTAATTTCTTCATGTTTTTATTCATTTATTCATGTATTCATCATTCACTCACTGTGCAATGCGTGCTGGGCACTGAGAACATGGAGGAGAAGATGGCAGACACTGTGTATCTTCACAGAGTTGAATTAACATCTAGTGAAGAAATGATTAAGACAGTGTTTTTGGATATGGTTTATTTATCATTTAGTTACTTAGTGGACAAGATTAACAGGTTGTTTAGGCAAAAGTAATATAACGATTATTAACAGTAGCTACTAAGGATCTCCCCAGTGCTTCTCTAACTGGGGGCATTTTACCACTCCTCTCCCCCACCATAAGACATACAGCGATGTCTGGAGATATTTTTGGGTATCGCGAGCATTAAAGTGCTGTAAGGACTAGCTGTCGGCATAATGGCTATGTCACTGGACTCCCATGTAGTAGACCGCGGTACGAGTCCTGGACCTGGTGGCTTAAACTCACACCGGGGACGTGTGCACGTGTGCCCAAGATCCTGAGAGGAGAATGGAGGAGAAGAAATTGTGGTATGGCCATCCCCCTAGGGGGTGATCTCTTGATTTCTGTCTCTCTGTCTCTCTCTCTGTCTTTCTGGTGAGCGCACACGCTGTATAGCAAACCCCGCTCCCCCCAAAAAAGTGCTACATTATGGTTAGGAGTCAAGGATGCTATGGGGCCAAGCCCATTGCCTAATGGGTAAGGAAGCAGGATCCTATGTGGCCAATATTGGTTGGAATCTCTGCCCTGCAGGCTTGGAGAGCATGCTTGGCATATGTTTACATGTGTCCCAAATCCTGAGGGCATGGAGAAATGCAGAAGAGAATACAGTGTGACCACACCCCATGGTGGGCACTTTCTTCCTCTACATCTCTCTGGCAGGTATATGCATCTTCCAGTGGACCAGCAGGTGGTGTGGTGGTTAAGGTGCTGGATACTCGCATGGCCAACAGCGGTTCAAGTCCTGGACCTGGTGACTTTCTTTCTCACTTTCTCTCTCTCTCTCTGTGTCTCTCTCTGGTCAAATTAAATAACTTAAATAAATAATTCTTTTTAAAAAAGTATATGCATCTTCTAGCAATTAAAAATAAGAAAGAGAGAGGGGCCAGTAGGTGATATGGTTAAGGGTGCTGGACTCCCACATGGCCCAATGCAGTTGGAATCCCAGACCTGGTGGCTTGCTTTCTCACTTTCCCTCTCTCTCTCTCTCTCTCTGGTCAAATACAATAAATAAATTAATAAAGTTAAATAAAATAACTCTTTTTAAAATAATTATTTTTATTATTTTAAATTTATTGATTTATTTTATTTAAATTTGACCAGAGAAGGACAGAGTGAGAGAGTGAGTGAAAGCAAGCTGCCAGGTCCGGGACTTTAACTGCTGTCGGCCATGTGGGAGTCCAGCGCCTTTAACCACCATGCCACCTGCTGGTCCCCTAAAACAACTCTTTAAAAAGAGCAAAGAAAGAGAGAGAAGAGTTCCCATAATGGAGAATTACTGAGTCCAAAATATCAATAGTACTGAGGTTGAGAGTCCCCAATATCAGGAAAGCTTCCTTTAGTTTACCTGTTTATTCTGAGAGACTGGGGGCGAGTGCGACAGCGCCCGTGATGCAGCCCAGGGCCATGGACGACTCCCGGCCTCAGGGGCACAGGGGAGCCTGGCACAGCTAGAGAGGCCATGGGTGTGAAGTGGTACGTTCCCACAAGGGCCAGCCTCACAGAGCATTTCTTTTTGCCATTTACCACTGCCTGGCCCTATTGTTACTAATATTCCTAAAATAGCTGACGTTCTGTTTTGTTTTGGCCATAGAGCACATGCACTCACGAGTCAGACAGAGAAACAGAAATCGAGAAACCACCCCCCAGGGGGCATGGCCATGCAGCGATCCCTCTCCATTCTCCTCTTGGGATTTTGGGCATGCATGAGCAATTGCCCAGCTTCAAATCTCCTTTCGTATCCTGAGCTGGACACTGTAAGATACAGCAAGTGGAGTCATGAGGGCATGGTATAGGATAACAGAGGAAAGGAATATTCAGAGCTTTTCCTGGAAAAGTCAAGGACTTCAAGGACTGCTTCCTCTTTCTCCTTATAAGGTCATTTCTGGTCATAACTGTGGAAATTGTCACTGTCACGGTGCCGGTGGGTGTGTCGTCTAGTGTGCTAATGCAGTACCAGGAGGGGATAATGAGTTTGAAGGTCAGGCAGTGGTTGTTCCAGACGCCATCTTGGTTCTGACCGGTTCAGGCTGGGTCTTTCAGTGGAGGCCTTACTGGCACACATCCTGTTATTTAAAACAAAACAAAACAAAACAGGCGGGGCTGGGGTATGGTATGAGCATGGGCTATATGGTTGGTGACATCGTTGCCTGGCTCCATGGTAAACTCTTCAAATTGATGATCTCGTGTAACCACCGAAAACCTTAAGGGTGGGTACTTTTTAGTAGCTCTGTCTTAGAGACGGAGAAACAGGTTTGATGGGTTAAGAAGCTTGACCCAAACTTCACTGTTAGTAAGGACAGAGCAGGTGGTTAACCCAGGAAACCCGACTCCTCGCTCTTTACCACCACCATTTGTCTAGTTAGCACCTCAGTTCAGATGCCAGGCTCTCCCTTTAGCTGTTCCCTAGCTTGCTAGAAATCGTTTTAGTTGGCCCAGCCACAGCAGCACAGGTGGCAGGGCACAGCTATGCACGGCTGGAGCAACGTGGAGGACGCAGGTTCCAAACCTGGGGAGTGATCTCAGGGTGATCCGAACATTCTGGGGGCACACTTGCAGCATGGTGAGATCCTGTCAAGGACACCTGTCTCTCTCAGAAAGAAAAAGAAAGTAAGAAAGAAATGAAAGAAATTGCTTTAGTGATTCTGTTGATTACAGGCGTCTGTTGGAAACCTGCTGAGAAAGACAGGTTGCCGTAATGGTATGGAAGAGTATTTTTTCAACAGCTAGTTTATATGATTAATAGTTTCCCTGTGCAATTGTGCAGCTGGCACATTAATCTGACCCAATTAGGCAGAATGAACCCAAACGGTTAGTCATATCTAATTCAGCTCTAGCTGTCTTGACAGAGTAAGCTACAATACTATAAATAGCAGAAGCAAGCTAATGGGCTCCGGTGCATTCAGCTTTCATTCATTTACATTTTATTATTTTGGCGTTATTCTTCGTTATTTTCTGCTTCTGCTTTACTGAGAGCGTCTAGGCAGTTTGGGTTAAAATGTTAGGATCAGACTGCCCTTTTTATTGAAGTTCGTTTTCTGAAGGGAAAGCTGCATCGGCCCCACCCACCCCTTGAATTGCAGTGCGAGGACTAAACACCCCAGACTGTAATTTGATCTAGTTCCTTAACCCTATAATTTAACTGATAGAAAGTAATCCAACACCACGACTGCCCACGTGATAGGGCAGAATTCTCTTGTCTTCTCACCTGAGTACCGCAGGCTTGTGCCACCCAGAAGAATGACAAGGTAACTCAGAATATGTGGGGTCCGTATAGCCCTGGTGGAAATCCTTACGAAGAAGAAGCATGGGTCCCACAGATCACAGGTTAGTGTGAAGGGAGTGTGCTTTTGTTCCCAGGAAGTTTCTGAAATAACTTGCTCTGACGAATATATACATATGTTCCCCTAGATTTAGCCGTTTCATTTTTAGGTCTTTGAGTGTGTGAGTAAGGGCCTTTTTAACAAGTCCTAAGGTGCTTTTAGGAAGAGTAACTTACCTGGAATTCATACCTGACCGTGAGTGAAAACACTTCTGTAACCAGGGCCAATAACAATTTCTAGTGGGCTATCAAGGATGTTGTTGCCTTTTTTTTCTATAACTGTTACCATCTAAAGAGGAGGTTGATGGGTGAAAATACTTTTGTGGGTAAGCATCTTTTTTCCTGTTTGTTATCAAGGCTGGTATATTATTGTTCTCTCCTATAATTCAACAAGTCTCACAAACATTATTTCATTAATGACTTTTCTAAATTCTTGGACTGGTAAGTGGCTTACCTGATCAAAGTTTTGCATTTGTTTTGTTTCTCTTGTCCTTTAAAAGTCATGGAGAGCTGGAACGAGCGGTTGGCATAGTGGCTAAGTCGTTGGACTCCCACATAGTCGACCGCGGTTTGCGTCCTGGACCCTGTGGCTTAAAACTCACGTCGGGCGCGTGTGCGTGCATGCCCAAGATCCCGAGAGGAGAATGGAGGAGAAGGGATTGCGGCGTGACCATCCTCCCTGGGGAGTGATTTCTCGCTTTCTGCCTCTATGTCTCTCTCTGTCTGGCGAGCGCATGCGCCCTATAGCGAAAACCTCTCCCCCCCCCCAAAAAAAAAGAAAGAAACTTCTTTTCCTCTTCAAAAGTCCAAATTATTCCATTTCATAGGCATGTCATGATTCTTTCCAAAAGTTGGCAATACAAAAATAAACAAACCAACCAACAAACAACAATAACAACAAAAAAGTCATGGAGAGGTTAAACATCTTAAAAATTATTTAACCTCTCCATGGCAGGTCAATAGTTTACATGCACAGTATGACTTTATATTTTAGAATCATCAGAAAGGCTTGGAGGGTTGCTGCTATTCAACCCCTTCCAGAAATGTCCTTTGATATTGCTTGCGAACTCTGACACTAGAAGTACCTGCAGTCCAAACTGAATAATAATATAGTGATGACAGCAGCTAAGTTTGTTGACTGCAAGGTGCCAGGCCCAGTGCTGCCTGCTTTAAACACACTCATCTGCATAACAACTCTTTTCGTTATTCTCATTTTACGGAGAAGAAAAGTAAAGTTTACATTAAGTAACGCAGGTGGGATTGAGTCACCCAGCTGATAAGAAAGCAGCTCAACTGGGTTTAGAGCACAGGTCTGCTGGTACCAGGGGTTCATTACACACTGCTGCACTGGCAACTCTATTTGAGTCTAGCTGGAAGATTGTAGAGCAGAGAAAACAGAATAAAGTGGGGAAGAAGAGAATGGGGTAAAGGAGTGGAACGTTCTCCCAGGAGACTGGATATCAATTTGTTTCTAATTTTTCCCAGTCAACAGTTCTGAAAGCGGCAAATTGCTTTAGGAATACTGATATCACTGTCCAGAGAGGTTATACAATATTGTGTTTTATTTTTTAAAAATGTGTTTATTATTATTTTAAAATTTGCTATAGAGCATGATGTGTGGTCACGAGAGAGAGAGAGAGAGAGAGAGAGAGAGAGAGAGAGAGAGAGATAGCAAGCCCTCCGGGTCCAGGACTCAGACCACAGTTGGCCATGTGGGAGTCCAGCATCAAAACCACCATGCCACCTGCTGTTCCCCATAAGTTTTATTTTTAAGGTCATACATCTAAAACATTTTGCTAGTGTTACAGAGCTCAGACTTATTTCAGATAGAATTTTCTACCCTATCCTTTTCCCATTAAGAGGCAAACAGGATTAATTAAGTCTAGTATAGTAGTCATTTAACTAGACAGGCAATATCTGAGTTATAATTTCTGTCCAAGACTATGTGTCTTTAGAAGGACATTTTACAATATTTAAGCTTTGCACAGACCAGGAACCTATAGGGAAAAATAAGAAAAGTCACTTGCTTTTTTCTAAAAAATGTTATTAATATAATTGTACATATTTATGGAATCAGATGTGACATTTCAATACATATCTATGTCATCTACTCTTCTTTTTTGGAGAGGTTTTGGCTATAGGGTGCATGCACTCGCCAGAAAGACAGAGAGAAACAGAGAGACAGAAGAAAGAAATCACCCTCCAGAGGGCATGGCCACACCGCAATCCCTTCTCCTCCATTCTCCTCTCGGGATCTTGGCCACGCACACACACGTGCCCTGCATGAGTTTTAAGTCACTGGGTCCAGGACTCGAACCGCGGTCAACTACATGGGAGCCCAGCAACATAGCCATTATGCCAACTGCTGGTCCTTATGTCATCTGCTCTTGATTCAGCTATTATAACCACAAAATCCACCTGATTTATCTTCAAAAGAATGTAGAGTCGGTAGCTAGGTAAGCTGATACTTTGCTATAATGTATAACAATAGCTAACACTGAGCACTCAGTTCTCTGTGCCAAGACTAGGTACATTATATTACATTTTAAAAATAATTACTTATTTAATTTTATTATTATTATTATTATATTATTATTATTATTAATTTACTATAGGTCTTGTGTACTCACCAGAGAGAGAGAGAGAGAGAGCAAACCTCCAGGTCCAGGACTCGAACAAAGGTTGTCCATGTGGAAGTCCAGCACCTTAACCACCAGGTCACCTGCTGGCCCTACTTTATATTACATTATGTCATTTCATTCTCACAATCCGATGGGTAGATACTAGTGTCATCTTCATTTTACAGATGATAAAACAGGTTTAGAAACTAGCTCAGATCCCACAGTTATTGACAGATCCTTGACCCAATTATAGATCTGACTCCCAAGTCAATACTTTCAATTTTGCCTCACTAGTGTCTGAGCTGCAAACTGAGGGTGAAATGTCCAGTATTTTTTCTTTTTTTCCTCTGCTAAAAATCTGAGTGCTCTGTTTCTCCTTCTGACACAAACAAAGAGCTTTTCATGACACTGTTAGTCTTATTTGCTCTAAGTGGAAGATCTAGCAATCTGGAGACACAGGTTTGCTGCCTCCCCTGATATTAACAGCTCGCCACTTTCTTTCTAGTGGTTTATTTATTTATTTATTTATGGAGAGATTTTTGCTATAGGGCACATGCGCTTGCCAGAAAGACAGAGAGAGACAGAGACACAGAAAGCAAGAAATCACCCCCCAGGGGGGATGGCCATGCCGCAATCCCCTCTCCTCCATTCTCTTCTCGGGATCTTGGGCACGCACACACACGCGCCTGGCGTGAGTTTAAGCCACCAAGTCTGGGACTCGAACTGTGGTTGACTACGTGGGAGTCCAGCGACATAGCCATTACCTCAACTGCTGGTCCCTCTAGTGTTATTTATTTTTGAGATTTTTTTTTTTTTTTGTATAGGGCACATGT